AGCTCCCCCCTAACCCTTCCCTGGCTTCGGATCTTCAGACAGGAAAAGCCTTTATTTTCTCAGCTCCTTGGGTCAGCCTGCAGCTTGCGCTGGGCTGGGCTGGGCAGGAAGGAACCCTGGAGTCTCCCGTCTGCACTGCCCTGACCCCTTTGCACCAACGCCCCCCCTAAAAGGGAGAGCCCTTATCACTCGGCTAGGCCTTTCCTGTGATGCAAGTACAGGATGTGATGGGAGGAAGAAAACGCTCAGATGTAGGCTGTGCAAAGGGACCTCAACACACGCACACACACACACACACACACACAGAGCAATAGCATTCCATGTCAAATTCCCAAAGGGGAAGATTTCAGCTGCCTTAAAGGCAGGAATTCAACAGGTGCTGATCTGAGCTTTGAAATCAAGTTCCTTTCTAAGACTCCCAGTGGGCAGGACCGGTGGGGAAGGCTGGATGTTGTCGTTTGGAAAAGGAATGTGCTTGGCCCACCACTTGCCGAATCAGCTCGGCAGGGAAGATCTGTACCTGTCGGAACGGTTTCCAACTGCTCTTCGTTTCATGATTGTTTATTCTTTTCTTCAAGGACTAAGGCAGTGTTTTGAAATCTCTCTTTTAAAAGTCACACTGACCCTGTGAGGTAGATCGTTTGGACTGAGATTTTAGAAGCTTGACCAAGCTTTGTGGCTACAGGTGGGTCTGCATTCAGGTTTCCCTCCTCTTGAGTCCAAGCGGCCAACCCCAAAGCCACATAAAATAGTCCTGTGCTAGGGATATGGGGACCCAGTTCATGCAGCCACGGACTGTGATTACCAACTACTCTACAAGGACTCAAACAGTGGCTAAAATCCTGTTGCTTGGTCTACTTAAGTCGCAACCAGGATAGACCCATTGAATCAGTGGGGATTTGGGGAATCAACCCCTCTCTTCAGTTCTATTGATCTACTGGAACCACTTTAGGTTTTACTATGTTACGCAACAAAGTTTCAGCCGGTATGTCCTATCCTCGTCAAATATTATTTCAGTAGGAGACACCAGCAACTGGCCTGATGACTAAACAATATTAAAGCAAGCAAGCCAAAAATATATGGGATTTATTTTACTCATTGGTTTGATGTATACTCCACCTTTCTCCTTGATTGGGACTCTAGGAGGATAACAAGGTAAAAAAAGAGCAGACATTACATGGCAAATGTTTATACATTTATATGCACCCCAATACAAAGAGGGGCTTTTTTGAGGGGGGGCACAGATTGTTGAAAGTGTGGCTATCAGGTGTGTGTCTGGTACTAGGACTAAAAGACTGTCCCCCACCCACCCTAAGTCTCAGAGTATAGACTGTGGGATAATATCATTCTTCATACAGTCTGGACCTACACCCTATCGGCATGATATCTGAACGCTATTTCAGAATTAAAATATGGTACTGAGGCTGAATTATTTTCCAGATATTCCTTTAAAGAAAATGAAAAGACCAGTTATTCTCCAAATACAAAGCGTCATAATTCTGACAGACTGTAGGAGAGAGAGAGAGATATATATATGCTTATTTAAAAGTGCTTAATTTAGTGATGGGCACGAATCCCCAGTTCGGTAGTTCGTGTCAGTTCATTTAACAGTTCATTTAACAGGTGATTGGCGCCTCAAAGCCCTGCTTTCTATGAGGCTCACCCACTCAAAGGCAGTGCTTGGAAGAGGCAGGGTGGGGAAATCAGGCTACGGCCTCAGAGGAGGGAGTGCTTTGAAGTGCCAATCACCTGTCTGGCCAACAAACTGGCACGAACCGGCGAACCCATGGTTCGTGCCCATCTCTAGGAAGATCTCCTATTGAGAATCCTGTCAGGAAGAATAAGATTAATCTAGTGAACCCTTTCTTCCAAAGCGTGTGTGCGGGCAGACGGCTGGTCTCTCACTGCATTTCTATATGCCAGCCCTCCGCATTCAGGCGGTGAATTTCTGCCTCGGTTAGGCCCGGTGCGCTTGCTTGCTGATAGATCTGCCAGCCTGTGAAAGGTGGTTCATTTACGAAGCTCATTAGTCCCTGGAAGGGCAGGCAAGGGGAGCTCTCTGGAGTCTGTGTGTGGGCAGAGAGGAAGCTCATTAGCGAGGCAGGAAGACAGGCGATGGACAGGAAATGGGGAGCATTGGGTGGGGGGAAGGAGAGACAGAAACAGGCCAGGGGAGGTGGGAAGCACTGGCATGGAGCTAGCCTCCCCTACCATGTCCCCAGTCCCTCAAAATGCATGCCGCCTTTCCATAATTTATGAAAATAAACAACCCCTGCTTTGTTTCACGGTGAGATAAATTGTGAATACATCCAGGGTCTTAGCAGGATTTTTCCCAGGAAGAGAAATAGGGAGAAGCTGCAGTTTCATTCAATTACACAGGAAGTCTCTGAAATAAATGGTTAATGATACCTCATTTGCGGGAAGCGGACAGAATACTCCAAAGTGAGTGGTGGCTTCTTTCGGATTTTAGCAGATGGGACAACGCGGGATGTTTATCACAGGACTGGAGAATTTCCACATTCCTTGATCATGTTTGGGCCGGCCCTTACCTTTAGGCCGAGTGAGGGGACTGCCTAAACACCAGATATCTCGGGGTGGGGGTGGCCGCATCTCAGCTGTTTGTCCTGAATTCCTTGGCTGTTCCCTTCCATGGTACAACAGAGCTGTGTACGACACACAACCTTCCTGGAGCCCCCACCTGGCCTCAGGTGTATAGGGGACAATACCACAGTGTTTGGACAGGTAACCCAATTTGTCTCTTTGAAACGAGAGAACATAACCCAAATCAAACCGATAGGATTCTGACACTCTGCAGACGGTCAGATTTATTTCGGTGTGAACTTTTGCAGTCAGCTTCTGTACCTGGAATGAGAAGGGAGGTGGGTACATTCTTCTCCTCAGGCAGCAAAATATCTTTGGCTACAATTTGTGATCACTTTGTTCAGCAGTTCTAATTATCTGTCTGAATGAGTTCTACAATGCAGGGTCAAGGTTGAAATGGACCTGATCCCGGGAAAACGTTCTCCAACAGAAACTAGCATTTTTTGGGCTTCTTTGGGCAACACTTGTGAAAATGACACATGGTATCTTCACAAATCTGGCCTCCATAAACTCATGACTCAGGAAACAGGCATTGGACCATATATTTTTGGTCACACTAGAATGATGTTCACAAAAGGATGGCAAAGGTTTTTTAATAGGCTAAACTGACTACGCAGCACTGAGCAATTAGTCACTAGTGATACTTTCATTGGCTTCCTTTATAGAGTCAATCCATCTGACATTTTCTATTCCTCCTTTCCTGCTGCCTTCAGCTTTTCCTAGCATTATTGTCTTTTCCCTGCTCAAGATGTAGGCAAAGTATGACAGCCTCCCAAAAAAACTGGGAGGGGAAAAAAAACCTTAAACCAGAAGTGAATGACCATTTCAGACTTTTTTAATGCATTTGTTTATTATCTTACTTATTTCTTGGCCAGATGTTTTTGAGTTTGTGTGGCTATCCTCCAGTAGAAAACTCACTGCTTCTAAGGATCTCTAGGATCAGATGGGGGAAAAGTGTTTTGCTGATTTTGCGGGAGAATGCAGCAGTCTAGGACAGCTATCTCATTTAACAATCCTGCCTTGAGTACTCATGAACCCCTGTTCCTATTATTCAGATATACTGCTACTGCATGTGCAGGTTCAAATCTACAGTTAATAGTAGCGATAAAGTAATCTTCTGTGGATATCTCCAACTGAGAAGTGATGCTCTTGTACA